CTGTTTTTATCCAGGCAGAGGATTCCCAGTGCTAGAGGGCTTTCCAGGCTGATCTCCAACCTCAAAGTCACATTTGGGTAGGGTGATCACAACTCCAGATTTGCCTAGGGCAGCCCCAGCTGAAGCTAGTTCACGAGATGCAATTATTAATAGCCCCACTTTTATCTCAAACCGTTCTGGTTTAGGTGATGAATTCTCATCGCTTGACTCTTGGGGCCCCTAAGCCTGCAAAGGAGGCGTCCCAGATAGAGAAAGGTGCTGAGCACTCGAGGGACCTCCAGGCTGAGTCTTGCCCCTCCTCAAACGCCCCATTCTCCTCTCCAGCACCCCTGCCACGCCGTCACCCGGCGTCTGCTTGTATACTTCCAGGGACGGCAGGCTCGCTCGCCCCTGATGAAGATTCTCTTTTTGGGGGAAAAGCTGTGTCATAAAAATAGCAGGATGCAAACCTATAGACAGTATGACTGCAACAACAACATCCTTCGGCAAGGAAAGTAGTGGCAGTGGGGGGCGGGGGCTTGAAAACCTCTGCTTTTTCCCTTCCACCTCCTTCCATTCAATAAATATTTACGGAGTGCATCTGATGTTCCAGTGGTACTGGGGACAGAGTGGTGAGTTAAAACAGACTCAAATTGAAGGGCATTCTATACAATAAGTGGCCTGTGCTTTCCAAAAATGTCAAGGTCATAAAGGGCAAAGAAAGGCTGAGTAACAGTTCCAGTTTAAAGGAGATTAAAGAGACAGGATGACCTTATGAAATGCAGGATGGGGGGAGGAGGTTCTTTGCTACAAAGGACACTATGGAGACAGCTAGCAGAAACCCAAGTGAGATCTACAGATTAGATAATAGTATTGTTTCAATAATGATTTCTTGGTTCTGAAAATTGTGCTGGAGTTATATAGAAGAATGTCATTGCTTTTAGGAAATACACTGAAGTATTTTGAGGGAAAGGAAAAATCTATAAATAACCTTCAAATGACTCAAGAGAAAAATATATATATACATAAAGAGCAGAATAAAATAAATGTGATAAAACGGTAACATTTGGGCAATCTGGGTGAAGGGTATGAGAGTTCTTTGTTCTATTCTGAGAACCTTGCTGTACGTCTGAATTAGGTCAAAATAAAAAGTTAAAAGAAAAAAAAATAAGTCCCAGAGAAAGGTTGTTTTTTCTTTTTTTTTTCCTTTTTTGAAAACAAAGCCAGATCGACCGTGACTTCAGAGAGCTCCCCGTGTCGCTGGGGAGACAGGTACTAATACAAATAATTACACTAATTAACTGCAAAATTGCAACTGCGAGAACACTGTAAAAGGAGAGAGATCCGGAGGCATGAGCGTTTACAGCAGGCAGTTTTACCCCAGTCCTGTGCAGTCACGGACTAACACCCAAAGCGGGAGATGGGGGGTGGGGAGGAGGCAAGGTTCCAGGTTCTCACAGCCCCGTGGCAGGTAAGGCAGGGCAGGGACCAAACCATGCATGCCACACGGGGGCCTGCCTGCAGGAGATGCCCACACCAGTCTTCTCCTCTCAGAGCAATAGGAGGTGTTTCTGAAAGACCCCCGTGACTGCAGAGAACGGGCTGGCAGGTGGGAAGGCATGTGGAGTCCACCGTAGTGGTGGTGGCGACTGTCGCCTCCAGGATAAACATCGCTGATAATTTTTTCTGTTCCCTGACACTTTAATTTTCTACAGCAACCATGTATGAACTCATTGATAACCAGACCAGGGGACAGGGCTGGCGGGGGTGAAGCAGGCTCAGACTGTCACACCCCCTTTCCAGACCTGTTAGTGGTTAGGGTCAAGGGATGGCTGATGGAGGTGGTTGCTGCTTTGCTCACAAGTACCCTGGGTCTAAACTGAGGCTGACTCCACCTTAGGGAAGCAAGGGGGGCAGGGGAGGTCAGGTCTTCATGCTCCACTCCCAAAGTCAGCCCAGCGCCTTCCATCACACAGCATCCAGCTGCCCACAGCCCCCCTTCTGGTCCTGGATCCTACTCCTTGGAATGTCCCTTTAGCCCTGAGACCTAGGACCTGAAGCCCTGGCCTAGGAGTGGACCATTACTCACCCACAGTGACTCTTGGCACTGAACACTGAACAAACCATTTGTCTGGAGGGTCAGAGGCCCAACCACAAAGGGAGGGGACCCTTTCCTGTGCCAAGTTCTGTCATAGTGGGTTTTCATTAACTCCTTTAAAATGGACCATTTAAAGGAAATAGGTTCCATTATTATCCTCATTTTACAGTTAAATGATTTGTTCAGGAAAAAGACCTGGGTTCACATCTTGGCTCTCCTGCTTATGAGTAACGAGACCTTTGGGTGGTCACTCCATCTCTCTGAGCCTCGTTTTTTTTTTTTCACCCTACCGGCAAGGTGGGGCTGGTGGGAATGAACAAGATTCTGGGACTAGATAGTACTATTTATTCCCTTTTGAGGCACCAAGGGGCTCAGTACAGAAAATCCACTCCAAACTACACATCGCTTAAATATTTACTAAAAGCTTGTGTATCCTGACAGTAAATCATGGGACCTGAATTTTCCAGGACTATCCCAACTTCAAATCCTCTGTCCTAACTTTCCACAGAAAGCATCAAAAGGTCTCAAAAATTCCACTCTCTCAGTATCCAAACAACACCTCCCAGGCCTCCTCTTACATGAAGAAGCAGCACAAACATTCTTTTTCAGACTACAGATCCTAGTCTTCCGTTCAGAAAATATAGCCGGTGGAGTCCTGCTGGCCCCCCGAAGGAAACGGAGTCGTGGCAGCCAGTACTCCATCCCAGCTCAGACTCGGCTGGGCTGTTTCCCGGCATGCTGGTATAAACCGCAGCCAGGAGAAGCCATACCATGATCAGAGCACCGCCCCCCCCCCCCCAGAGGGACACAGACTGGTCAGATGAGCTCTGCCCCCACCCACCCAGCAAGCTGCCGGTACCCAGGTAGGAAGCACGGCCGGAGGGTTGTTCCAAGGTTTAAATGAATGAGTTAATATTTAGAAAACATTCACAACAGTGCCTGGCAGCCAGTAAGTGCCATAACAGTGTTTCATAACGAAAACCAAAGGCATCCTGGGCGGAAGGTGCTCATGCCTCAAAGAACCCACAGGCATCACTTCTGGGAGAATAAGGAGAATGGGCCCTCACCCCTGGGTTGAGTGAGGCTGGGGCCCCTTCCAGACACGGGGTGGGGGTGGGCACCCTGACTATGGGAGGTAGGGCCTGCATTTGCCAAGGTTCAGGAGGCTGGACCCGGGGAAGAGTCATCACTTCTGAAATACACAAGGTCTCTGTGCCTCGGGGCCTTAGCACCTGATGTTCTGCTCACCCCCCCCACCCCCCCATACTATCTTTTTCTACCTTCAAGGCTGAATTCAAATGCCAACTACTCCTTATGGTGTTCTTTGATTTCCATCAGAATGAATGGTCGCCTCCACTGGTCTCTTTGGCATCTGGCTTTATCTCCTTTTAAAGTAATTGTGAGACACACAACTAGACAGAGCACGTGTGCGCAGGCGCGTCATTGTCTTCCCAATTCTACCACTCGTCCTTCCAAAGATAAGGGTCTGACTTTCCTCTCGGTAACCCTAGGGCCTGACGCACAGCTCAACAGGTGTCTGAATTTGCTGTGAAATCTGTGCTCTCCGCTGGCCTTTACCCCGGAGGCAGAAAGTAGCTTCAGGTGGACACACAACCAGAAGCTACGTAGATGCAAGATCTCTGGGTCTTGGAGCCCATGACTAGATCAGATTTTAGCCAGGGGCCTACCAAAGCATTCCCTTTCATCCCTCTTCAGGTGGATGAAAGGAGACACCTGTGAGACCCGAGCGGCGTGGACACTGACCAGATCCTGGCCTGCCTCTAAGAGAGCCGGTAAGAAGAGCCCAAGCTTGAGAAACATCAGCAGGCTGCCCTGCCTCCACCAGCCCAAGTCAAGGCCAGGGCAAGTGTGGACTGCCTTAGGCATTCCAGCCCCTGCAACAGACCTGGGAACAGACGAAGAGGGACTGGCCCCACTTTCCAGGAACCACTGCTGTCTGGCCTAAGGAAGCTGAGCACTGGGATTACAGTCACAGGCGCAGGTTCCCTTCCATCCTACCAGGAACCCTGAGGGCTCAGGGGGGAGGTAGGGGGCCAGGCCTTCCCGCTCCCTCAAATCCCCAAAGCTGGTGGGTTCCGTGCATCCTGGAGAACACAATTCCTTCTGTGCCTGGACCCAAGGTTCAGAAGGTCACAGTTGGTCCCTCTTGCTCCTAGCCCCAGGCTGCCTTGGCTAAACTCAGTTTTCTCAACTGCAATAGTGGGAGAGAACAGCACTAAAACTGAACAATGTACGTGAACCTTCCCAATTCACGGTCAACAATCAAGGAAGTTAGTCCCAATCCCCGGAGGCCAGTTACCAGCTGGGAAGCCCAACTTCTTTCAGGGATAAGATTTGTCTCTGACCAAGTTCCTGCCACTTGACTGAGGTTAAAAGCTACTAGAATTCTTCTCTATGAAAAAATGTGAGAGAAGACTTTCAAAACAGGAATGGTGAAGCCGTGAGTTTTCCTGAATTTGACTGTGTTAAGTTGGGTTCTTTCTCCTGCTCCCAGCTGTCCCCGAGGACCTGCCCTCTCCTTGCAGGGAATTTCTTCCAGGTACCCTGAGTTTGCTGGGGTCCACTGGCCTACTCAGCATCCCCACCCAAGCACCGCATCTAATATACAGAAGCAGTTCAATAAATGCTTGCTTGAACGGAATGCCACTCAGAAAAATGCCTTCGGTAACTTGACCTTTTACATTCCTCAGCTAATGCCTAATTTACATATAAGAGTCCGTTTTAGGAGATGGCAAATCACCAGAGACAATTCAGGATCAATACAGAGTATTAGGCATGTTTTATTCTACTCTAATTCTCTGCAAATTGGTATTCCATTAAGTGTATGTGGGATTTATGGGAGCTCACTATAAACTAGAATATTTAACTAGAACAGCCTACTCTCTGTCAGATAATAGCTTACCGTTGTTAATTTTCAACTAGTCAATCTCAGGAAGGTTTCCAGCTTCCAGTCTCCTTTACATGTTGATTTAATCGCCAGGAAAGTCATCTATTTGCAAGTCTCCATACAATAAAGAGCCGCTTGATGCAGAAGCAAAAGACCTGCCCATAGAAGCAGAAGACCTGAGTTATATCCCCTAGGCCAATACCCTGTGATGGCTGTTTAAGACCTCAATTGCCTCATCTGTAAAATGGGAAAAACACCTGGCCTCATGGGGCGGTTGTACAAATTGAGGCGATGCACGTGGATGCACCCTGTACAGTTCTATGAAGCTATAAAAGGCGAGTTAAACAAACATAAGATAAAATTCTCGAACAACTCAGGTAGGCCAACGACAGCAGGGTGGTTCTAAAGGGGGAGAGGAGATATTTTGCCCTCCTCCAGGAGACACTTGGCCACGGCTGGAGACATTTTTGGTTGGCACCATTGAGGGAGAAGGATTGCTACTGGAATCTACCGGCTAAGACCAGGGATGCTGCTAAACATGTTGCAATGCATTGGACAGGCCCCACAAAAAAGAAAAAAAAAAATCATCCAACCCCAAATGTTAACAGTGCTGAGGTTAAGAAACCCCGATCTAAATAATAGGGAAAGTTGGGTAGGAGAGCTTTTTAGAACAGAAATCCTCCTAACCAGGCTGTTCTTCCTCGCATCATCTCTTTAAACATTCGCAAGATGGATCATCTTGCAAAACAGCTCTTTTGTAAGTAAAGCTGAACTGCCAACTTCTGGAGTTTCTGAATGTATAAAACTGCTTTTAACTAAGATGCTCTCCGACTACAATTCGGCTGAATTGTCTTTCCGAAGCCCTTGACTTCTGCAGTTCTCCAGGGCACCAGACAGGGTCTGTCACTCTGCCACCAGGCCCTGAAGATGCTTTCGTAATTCTAATTTCCTGGTCAAATGGGAGCCACGAGGGTCTCTAAACGAATTAAATTCACATCACGCCAACTGCTCCCTTGCTTTGTGCTGGGCACGGTGCCAAACACCTCCACATAATTTATCCCACTTAATCCACCCAACCACCGAGTGAGGTGGGCATCATTACCGGCTGTTAGCAGGGGAGGAAATGGAAGATCAGAGAGGTTAAACAAGTCGCCCAAGGTCACCAGCTGGCCTGGGGGAGCCCAACTTGAACGGAGGTCTCCAGGTTCCAAGTCACAAGCTCTTTCCACCAGCTCTGGAAAACCCAGGTGTCAAGTTGTCTCAACTTCCCATGAATTTTTAAGGCAACCGCAACTTCTCAGTAAGTTCAGGTCGCTGAAAATGGGAATTTCTCGGGGTGGGGGTGGGGGTGGGGTGGGGAGGGGAGGGGAGGATGGGAGGATGGGGGGCTGGCCCACCTCACAGGCACTCCCCCACTGCAGCTGTCTCACCGCAGGTACCTGATAAATCATTCCCTATCGCCCGCGGAACGGGGAGGGTTTATCGGCGCTGGAGTTCGTGCCAGGCCCAGGAAATGCCATCTTTGAAAGCCGAGAGGCGGATTCGCCCCGGGAGCCGGGAAGGTCTGGCCGCCGCGCCCGGCTGGCTCCCCGCGGGGCCGCGCGCCCCCCGGTGCCGGGGGCTGGGGCTGGGGCTGGGGCGGCGGCGGCGGCGGGGGCCCTCCCGGGTCGCCGGCCCGGTCCGCCCCTGCCCGGGTCGGAGCCCACGCCCACGCCCCGCCGCCGCCGCCGCCGCCGCCGCGTCCCGCCCGGGACCGAGCCCCACCCCGCCCCGCGGGCTCCCTCCCGCCGCCGCCGCCGCCGCCCCGCCAGGTGAGCGCGGCCCGGGCCCCCCCCCCCGCCCCGACGTGGCGCCCGGGACCCCGGGGCGCGGCGCCCCCTGCCCGCCCGCCCGCCCGCCTGCCCGCCCGCCGCGCTCGCGGGGCCGGGTGGGGGCGGGGCGGCTCGGAGCGCGCCCCAGCCCCGGGGAGCCGCGCGCCCTGCCCGGGGCCGCCGGGGTCGCGCCCGCCCGTACCTGCAGCATCCGGGGGCGCGGGGCGCCCAGGTAGGTCGCGCGAGCGGGCGGCGCGGAAGCTCGCTCGCGCCGCGACCTGGCCGCCGTCTGAGCATGCCCAGTGCCGCCCGCGGGCGGCTCCCGCCGGCCGGGCTGGCCGCGACGGGCCCGCGCGCGGGGCGGGGGGCGGGGGGCGGGCGCCCGGGCCGCCCTGCGGGGCGCCCCTGCTCCGCCCCGGCCTGGCGCGCCCCGACGCGCCGCCCCGCGCCCCGGGCCCCGGCCCCGGGCCCTGGCGCAGGCCCGCGGCGTCCGCTCCCTCACCATTTCCCGGGACCGGACCTACTGTGCGCCGGGCCCTCCGTGGGTCTGTGCTTAGGAAGGTCGCGCAGACGGCGCTCAGCCCGCCTCAGACAGGAGGACTCGCAGTCCCGGCTCCTCCCGCTCCTCCGGCAAGCTCTCCGGCTCAAACCTTCTTCCAGAATCTCTCGGTACCTGCCACCCCCCCTCCCCTGTCCCCTCTCCCCGCCCCAGTCTGGGCGCTGCTGCCCTCTGACAGCTCCTCTGACCCCGGCCTTCCTGCAGCCCCACGGGCACCTTTCGGTCCCCCAGACTCTCAGGACATTTGCACACGCCTGTCCCCCTCCCGCCGTGTGGGACTTCTTTGCCCGGCCTTGTACGCGGCTGGCACCTTCCCCTCGTACCTGGGTCCTCCTTATCTGAGAGGCCTGGCCCGAGCACCTTTGCTAAATCAACACCCTGTTCCTGGACACCCTCCATGCCCCCATTTCATTTCCTTCACGTTGATCATCATCCATGGAGCCATTCAGCGAAGAATTATTGGTCACCTTACTCCCGCTTCTTCACGCCGGGTAAACAGGCAAAGACCCTGTCCCCAGGTGGAGTTTGGGGGAAAGAGAGGCAGGCACCAATCAACGGGTAAACCCGCAAGCTGTGCGGGGATATTAGAGGGTGGTGGGAGTCCCCAAAAGGGGAAAAGAACAGGGTAAGGGGGTGATGGTCTAGGGGAGACGGTTCTCAAAGAGGCGCTCTCATCAGCCTGTGGGAGTGACCTTGAGAAGGTGACGTTGCAGCCCCGCACAGGGGACACCTGGTGCGGACACTAAGGGGCGACACCTTAGGGCTTTGCAAGGAGGACCGAGTAGGAGATGGGGTCGGCGAGGTGACTGTCCCTCTCCTGCGCTGACTTCTGTGTCTAACCCTAGGGACCCGCTGCAGCTGCGCGGCCCTGCCGGTCTTACCTGCGGCGTCCCAGCTCCCGTCCGGCGGCACGTGGCACACAGTGAGCGCTCAAACATTGTTTGTGGAGTGAATGTGTGAATGGGGGGAAGGCCGCGCGGTCCCGACCGGGGTGCCCGCGGTCCTGGGGGCCGGTCTGCCCCGGGGCCACTCGGTGGCCGCCGGCAGCCCCTGGCACCTCCTTGGGTCCCGGTCCCGGGAGCGCCACCGCAGCGGGCGCGTCGGGGGGAATTCCGACCCGGGCGCGGAGTCCCAGGAACAGGCCCCGCCCCGGCCCTGCCCCGGCCCTGCCCCGCCCTCCGGTGGCTCGCAAACCCTGGAGCCGCCGCGCCCGCCCCGCCCGTGGAGCCGGACGGGGGTTCACTGGGCATGCTCGGAGCCCCGGGAGGAGAGGAGGGGTCTCCCGGGGGCGCCCCCGCAGAGCCCAGCCCGCACCTCCTTGGTTGTCGACACCTCCCGGAGGGCCTGGGGGCGCCCCCCGCCCCCCTGCAAAGCGCAGTAGGAAACCTGGGAGTTCAGAGTCTCCAAAAGGCATTATTCTCTGCCCTCTGCGCTGTGTGATCTGGGCCAAGCCCCTTACCCTCTCTGTGCTTCCAATAACTCGAATACCTATCACTTGGATCTGGGCGGAATGTGAGGGCTGAACGGGATAAAAAAAAAAAAAAAGTGAACGTGTTTAATCCAACTTTAAAGATCCATGTCCTGGAACACCTGAGTGGCTCAGCGGTTGGGCGCCTGCCTTAGGCCCAGGGCCTGATCCTGAAGTGCTGGGATCGAGTCCCACCTCGGGCTCCCTGCGTGGAGCCTGCTTCTCCCTCTGCTTGTGTCTCTCATGAATAAATAAATAAAATCTTAAAAAATAAATTAAAAAAAAAGATCCGTGGGGCAGCCCTGGTGGCTCAGCGGCTTAGCGCCGCCTGCGGACTGCGGTGTGATCCTGGAGACCAGGGATCGAGTCCCACGTCAGGCTCCCTGCATGGAGCCTGCTTCTCCCTCTGCCTGTGTCTCTGCCTCTCTCTCTCTGTGTGTGTCTCTATGAATAAATAAATAAAATATGTTTTTTATAAATAAATAAATAAATAAATAAATAAATAATAAAATAAATAAATAAATAATAAAATAGAAAAAGATCCATGTCCTGAGCGCCTACCTCAGTGTGTCATCTGCTACTAGCTTGCCAAGTGCTTGCAAGGAAACGTTACCGTCACCGACATGCGGATTCTTGGAGTTGTCTCAGTTTGCCTTCCGTGACGGCTGAGGCAGTAACTACCTTTTCTTTCCCCACATTCAACAGTCATGAGCTTAAACAGTGTTCTTATATTCAAGCGAAAACATATCTGCACACATAAGGGAAAGAGACCTAGATCTTTGTAAAATTGCGCATTTCGATCACCATAAACAGAAGCAGGAACAAAAGGAAAGAATATTCCGCGAACTGGAAACTAATGAATGTCCGAAATCAGCAGAATGGTTAGGTTATGGTATATTCGTTGAAATAATAACTAGTTTAGACTAAGCTAGTAGACCATACTGCAGCAGGGGGAAACTTAAAGTACAATGTTCAGAGGGAGGGAAAAGCTGAAAACACAAATACACTTCATAGAGATTATGTCTGCACATTCACCCAGACTGGAAAGAAATATGGGAAAATGTCAATAATTTAATGGGGGGGGGGAGGAAGGAGTGTGGTTGGTTTCTTTGAGTTTATTGCTAAAAAAACACGAAAAACACAAGTTTATTATTGTCACAGTGTTGTGTTTGCAGTAATAAACAGCAAAAGGCCAAATTACAAATTTGTGAAGTTTTGGGAAAGTCTAATCATAATAAAACAATAGTTACTATTAGGCTCAAGTACGCTTGACATTTTACATATAATGTGTCTTTAATCCTCATAGTCACTCTCCAGGATGGGTGTTTCTAGCTCAGTTTTATAGAAGAGGAAACAATCTAGGAGCCATTCACAACTAGTAAGAGACAAGGTTAGGACTGAACACGGTCTGACCTCAAAGCCAGGGTGTTAGAGTTTATAACACTGCCTGCCTGTGTAGTAGCTTACAATGTATTGATCAGAAGAGAAACCACATATTCTTTCATTTTGTGTCTTTTTTGCCTTATTTTTTCTACCTTTGATGTGCTTGCAGGCTGCAGATTGCCTTTAAATGTTCTGGCTTCCTGTTACTATTTTATTGTTGGAGCCAAAATGTTAAAGTCCATCCTTTTCAGCTGTTGCACCTAGAGTGACATGACATTATTATCAGCAATGACAGTTGATGTTATATCATAAGCTCCCAAACTTTATGGAAATGAAGCTTTTGGATGGACACATAACTTTCTTAGTCTGTGTGGTTGAACCCAGCCAAATTGAGAGCAAATAGAGGCCTTGTCAAGACTAAGGCCATCCCAAGTCCCAGATCATGAGGCCAGTCCAAACATAGATTATTTTTCCCTGGGTAATCATTTGGGAGTCAAAATCACAGTATAATGGAACTACCTGGCCCACGGACTTCTCAGAACTTTACTGTGATGAAAAGATACAGGGCTGATAGTCCTGACGATGTTTGCCAAGAGAAAGCCAGAGCCCTAAGAGCAGCCCTCCTCCTACTGCTGATAAACAAAAACAAAACAAAACACCCCAACTCTCTCTTTTAGTAATGCTGGTTGACTGTTCCTGGCCCAGAAATCACTAAACAACAAGAAACACAGAAAGCCAAAGGGTCATTTCATTGGAGAAGAAGGTGTGCCACGAAGCCAGTAGGCATCACTCGTAATGGACCAGGTTCGTACAAGAGGAATGCAAGATGTGCAACTGGACACAGTTACTAGCATATTCCCAGAAGCTGCCGTTTGGACAGAAAATCTGGTGCCAAGCACTGCACACAGGCAATTGGCTGGGGGCATTTATAGGAAGGATTTCCTGGAAGAATCACTGAGGATTGTCATTCACATCAAACTCAGGAAGTCTGGGCACCACATAGACAGTTTCAATGATTTACAGGGCAGGGCTCCCAGCTGAGATGCTAATGCTCATCAATTATTTGTGTTGTTAATGCAAGCTCATGAAGGGCCTAAGCATCGCCAAATACATGGGCAAGTGGTGCTGTTAATGACAAGCGAAAAGAATACAATGTAAAATTATATAAATAGTATGGCCTCCGCGCTGAATTACTAAGCCAAACCACATAAAATGGCCGTTTTGTAGGTCGATAACGGTTGAACATTGGCAACTTCCTATATTTCAACTTAATACATGCACATAGAAAAAAGACTGGAAAGAACTGCACCAAAATACTAATGGTGACTCTATCTGAGTGTTGCATTTACAAGCAGAGAAACAAGGTATGGAAGGGAGCTCTTATAGGAGAACCTCAGGTCTTTGGGCATCTATTTCTTTGCTATGTCCCTAAATCTTATTTTACGGTAGGTTTCTTTCATGATCAGGAAAAGCGAAACAAGCTTTAAAAGCTGGCAAGCCAAACAAAATGGCGGAGAGAGGGGAAACAGCTACTGTGGAATTGTACAGACACATGAGAGGTACCTTTCACGGAGAGTGCAGGCAACCCTGCCCTGACCGGCACTGGCAGTTGACAGAATGTCTGCTCCAGGCCCAGGAGGGAGGGAGAGGAAGGAGTGGTCGGTCAGTGGCCTAGTCAGGAGCCTGTGGAGGGGTGTTCGTCTGACTCAGGACGCAGTTCATCCCCTCAGCCTGTGTTCTTGGGACTCTGGGACTTCGTGGATGTCCCCTTGAGAAACACAAATTGTTAGCCTAAAGTGGGATCCATTGAAAAGTGTCTTTCCATTGCAAATCTCCACCACCAAAGGAGTCTTGTCCTTTGTCCTTTGATGAACGAACTTGGCTTGGGTACAAGAGCAGCGTTGTGGATTCATTCACCACATTTTTTAAAAATTTTTATTCATGAGAGACAGAGAGAGAGAGAGAGAGAGAGAGAGGGCAGAGACACAGGCAGAGGGAGAAGCAGGCTCCATGCCCGGAGCCCTATGTGGGACTTGATCCTGGGTCTCCAGGATCACACCCTGGGCTGAAGGCGGTGCTAAACCACTGGCCATTGGGGCTGCCCCATTCATCACATGTTTATGAAGCACCTACTGTGTGTCAGGCACTGCTCTAAGTGCTTGGTAGACATAAGTGAACAAAAGAAACAACAATTTCTGCTCTCATGCTCTACCAGGGCAAGCCAGACAATGAACAACAAGCATGATAAACCGGTGAATTATGTTGTATGTTAAGAGACCGGGGTAAGGCTCATAGAAAGGGTGCTCGACGTGAGGTGGTTGGGGAGTTGCAATTTTATTTTATTTTAAGATTTTCTTTATTTACTCATGAGAGACAGAGAGAGAGGCAGAGACACAGGCAGAGGGAGAAGCAGGCTCCCTGCAAGGAGCCCAAGCAGGGCTCCATGTGGCAGGCCTCTGTTATAAGAGAGTCAGCCATATGATCCCGAGTATGCATACATTTTTAATATTATCACGTAAATGCAAAAATAATGTAACCAGTTATCTCAGAGGGATCTCGGACCTTTAAGAACACTTGATGAATGCTTAGGGATACACACACCTGAGTTGGAAAAATAATTTCCTGGTGCACACACTGTGGATGTACCAGAGGACCGGAAGGACCATTATAGGTCCACGGGAACTGCCCAGGTGGCTCAGTGGTGGGATGCCTGGGGGGCTTAGTGGTTGAGCATCTGCCTTTGGCTCGCGTCGTGATCCCAAGGTCCTGGGAATCGAATCTTGTATCGGGCTTCCCATGGGGAGCCTGCTTCTCCCTCTGTCTCTCTGTCTCTCTCTGTGTCTCTTATGAATAAATAAATTTTAAAAATCTTTAAAAATAGTAGGCCCATGGACCACCATATAGATTTGCTGCTACACGAGAAATGGAAAGGTAAGTCTAGGGATTTCGGAAACCTGCTCTTGTAATGGCAGCAGAAGGTTGTAGCTTTAGAGACAAAGAGAAATGATGACAAATGTAGGGAATGAGAGTTGGTATCCTGAACTGTGGCTGTTGGTGGTTAAGCAGTGGGTGGTGTCATCTTACAAAAGCTGGGGAGAATGGGTTTGTCAAGTCTCCCAACCACACCTTTAAGGTTCAAATGTCCAACAATAGAAGGAGAGAGAGAAAAATACCCAGGGAATATAGAATAGTCATACAGAGGTCATGGCTTCGAAAAATCAGCAACATTAAAGGAAAGATTCAAGGAATACCCTAATAGAAGATTCTAGGGAGTAGAGTCTGGGAAATACTGAAAGCAGCATTTTTTAAACTTTGATCCAGAACCACACATCATGATCACCTTGAGAGATGGAGTCCTTGTGTAAAAGCAGGCTTCTGGCCTCAGCTCAGAGCTTCTGATTCTGCTTGTGGACTCCAAGAACCTGCATTTTATAATTAACTATAAAGGGGTGCCTGGGTGGCTCAGTCGTTTAAGTGTCTGCCTTCAGCTCGGGTCATGATCCCAGGGTCCTGGGATGGAGCCCTCTCCCTGCTGAGTGGGGAGTCTGCTTTTCCCTCTCCCTTTGCCCTTCCTCCCACTCGTGTGTGCACACACGTGTGTGCTCTCTCTTTCTCAAATAAACAAAATCTTTAAAAAAAAGAAATCTTTTGTACACTGAAGTTTTATAATTTCTGTCCTGTAGCCTCCACACTAAGAACCTAGTCTGATAAACTAAGAGGATGGGAAATTTTACCAAGAGATGACCGTGGTCCTGTAGAAATCACTGATGCTTACTTAGATGGATGGGGCGAAGGACCACAGGCTCAGCTTCTTAACCATTTAAAGGGGTAGAAAGAGAGGGGACAGGAGGTAGAGAGAGGGCATCTCCTGCAGGCAAATAGGGACCCCTAGTAGAGAGCTGCCAGTCTTTCTGCTTTCTACTCTTGACCTTGGATCTCTGACTCCATCCACCTGACCATGCTCTCCTGGGGCCAGGAGGAAGCGAACCATGTGACTGGAGAGGAGGTGGT